GGGGGGGGGCGCGCGGGGAAATGGGACTGGGGCATTATATATGTATTTAATATACATTTATGTCTATGTATGTGTATGTGTATGTATAGTTGCAGGCGGGTAGCTGTGTTGGTCTGAAGCAATAGAACAACGTTTGAGTCCAGGGGCACCTTTAAGACCCACCAGGTTTAATTCTGAGCACAAGATTTCCTGTGCAGGCACCCTTCTTCAATTGCATGGTTTATTAGAGCATTATATATTTATTTAATATACATGTATATGTATATGTATAGTTGCAGAAATGGGACTGGGGGAGGCTGCTGCTTAGCTAGCCTGGGACTCTGCTGCCTTGTGCGAGGCGGCGAGGGAGTGTGCGTGCGTGCGTGCAATGGCGGGTGCGATCCCTGCTGCACAGGGCGAGACGAGAGGTGGGTCGGCTGGGGCCGTTCTCACGTTTGCCCTTTGGTTCTTGCGCCCCCCCCCCCCCCCGTGCCAGATTTACGGAGTAAGACCCGCCAAGTTTAATTCTGAGCACAAGATTTCCTGTGCGTGCACCCTTCTTCAATTGCATGGTTTATTATAGCATTATATATTTATTTAATATACATATGTATGTGTATGTATAGTTGCAGGCGAGGAGCTGTGTTGGTCTGAAACAATAGAACAACGTTTGAGTCCAGGGGCACCTTTAAGACCAACCAAGAGCCAGTTTGGTGTCGTGGTTAAGTGCGCGGACTCTAATCTGGGAGAACCGGGTTTGATTCCCCACCCCTCCACTTGCACCTGGCTGGATGACCTTGGGAAAGCCGTAGTTCTGATAAGAGCTGTCCTTGAAAAAGAGCAGTTTCTGCCAGAGCTCTCTCAGCCCCACCAACCTCAGAGGGTGTCTGTTGTGGGGAGGGGAAGGGAAAGGAGTTTGTCAGCCGCTCTGAGACTCCCTTGGGTAGTGAAGGGCGGGGTATAAATCCAATCTCTTCTCTTTTTCTTCTAATTCTGAGCACAAGATTTCCTGTGTCTGCACACTTCTTCAATTGCATTGTTTATTATGTCATTAAAAAGATAAAGGTTCCCTTGCTCGAAAGCCAGTCGAATCCGACTCTAGGGTTGAGGTGCTCATCTCCGTTTCAAAGCCGAAGAACCAGCGTTGTCATTATATATTTATTTAATATACATATACATACATACATACATATGTGTTGTGTGTGTGTGTGTATATATATATATATATATAGTTGCAGGCAGGAAGCCGTGTTGGTCTGAAACAATAGAACAAAGTTTGAGTCCAGGGGCACCTTTAAGACCAACCAAGTTTAATTCTATAAGATTTCCTGTGCATGTACACGTCTAGTCATACCGACCACATGACCACGAAAATGTCTTTGGACAGCGCTGGCTCTTTGGCTTGGAAATGGAGATGAGTGCCGCATCCCTAGAGTTGGAGTTATCTTTACCTTTTATGTATATGTATATATGGTTGCAGGCAGGTAGCTGTGTTGGTCTGAAACAATAGAACAAAGAGTCCAAGGGCACTTTTAAGTCCAACCAAGTTTAATTCTGAGCATAAGCTTTCCTGTGCAGGCACACTTCTTCAGATATACACATGCACAAGGAGGCTTATACCCAGAACTGAACTTGGTTGCTCTCAAAGTTGCCCCTGGATATAAACTTTGTTCCACAGCTTAAATAGTAGGGGTATTGAAAATGAGAGTTGTCACACTGGTCCCTTGTTTGAAGTAGTCGGTTGGGAGATATGTCCCAGGTCCTCCCTAGGCCACTGGCGGGGAGGGTGGCAGGGTTGCCAGATTTATATTTTTATAAAGGTAAAGGTTTCCCTTGCTCGAAAGCCAGTCGAATCCGACTCTAGGGTTGCGGTGCTCATCTCCTTTTCAAAGCCGAAGAGCCAGCGCTGTCCGAAGACGTTTCCGTGGTCATGTGGCCGGCATGACTAAACACCACGGAACGCTGTTACCTTCCCACCGAAGTGGTACCTATTTATCTACTTGCAATTTCTTGCTTTCGAACGGCTAGGTTGGCAGGAGCTGGAACTAGAGACGGGAGCTCACTCCGTCATGCGGCACACTCGGGTCTTGAACGGCTGAACTACCGACCTTCCACAGCCTGCAGTTCAGCGTCTTAACCACTTGAGCCACCGCAGCTCCTTATATTTTTATATACCTGCATATATATTTTTATATACGTGTATATAAAAACGTGTCTTTTTCTGTAGAGTTGCATGGTTGCTGCAGTTTTGTGCTGCCAGTCCAGTTGCATCATCCATTTGATGTAGCGCTGCCAGCCCCTTCCCCCACGGCCAGTGGGGATGGGGGTTAGGGTTGCCAGATCCAGGTTGTGAGACTCCTGGAGATTTGGGGGGGGTGGAGCCTGTGGAGGGGAGGGGCCTCAGTGGGATACAATGCCACAGAGAGCCCACCCCCCAAAGCATCCCCTTTCTCCAGGGGAACTGATCTCTGTAGTCGAGAGATGAGCTGTAATTCCAGGGGAATCTCCAGGCCTCACCTGGAGGCTGGCATGCCTAGGTCGATGCACTCTACTATCTGATGAAGGGAGCTTTGACTCTTGATTGCTTATACCCCTTGTTGGTCTTCCAAGGTGTTGCTGGACTCAAATGTAGTTGGTATACTGTATGATCTCTCTCTCTCTCTCTCTCTCTCTCTCTCTCTCTCTCTCTCTCTCTCTTGTCTGTACTCCACCTTGAGTCTCTAGGTGTTGGAATTGCAAGTTGCTTACACTTCAGTCATTACAGAATTAAATGTTGTTTGTTAGGAAACAGGATGTTACGTTACATAATGTATTCAACGGCGGGAAGGTTTGTGGGAGTTGTTTATCCTAATGAAGTGAAATGCTTTGATCTAGCATTAATGTATTCACAACGTTTATGGCTCTTTGTGTGAATCGAAGAGGAAGTTCTCTTCTAGAAGCAAAGACAGTTAGAAAGATGTAGCTGTTAGCATATAGTACTCAGAGTAACTGCAAGTATGTAACCTTTTATTTTGTTTCTTTTATCCAAAGTATCTTACCCATGTTTTACTTTATTCTATAGTAAAGATAATTTTCTTTCACTAATGTGTGCTCTTGTGTTTGCAATACAACCATCGACCCTGAATCAAAGAATCCCAACATAGTGGTAGCCAGAGGGCGGTTTATTTGCAACACAAAAGAAGCAAGGTGGTCTCTAAAAAAGCTGAAACAGTAGTAATAAATAATTTTTATCTGTAGCCAAAGCTTGTGTCCAGTGGCCCCTTTAAGACCAACAAGGGGTACCATTTTTCTAGGAGACTGGGCCAATCTGAGGAACCTCTAGACTTCTCTAAATTGTTTTTTAATCTCGTCCAGAATAAATCGGTCCCACAATTTTAAGAGCTACTCTTGCAGCGATGCCATTGATGTGGTTTACCAGTGTGAAGCAGTAAGACATTTAGCAGCACTTAACATTATCGTAATAAGTTCTCATTTCACCTTGGGAACGTTAAAGTGATTCCACAAATGGAGAAGGAACAGTTCAGGGGTCCTGAGAATCCAATAACCGGTGATCTGATGATTTTGGTATTGAATTTGGGTCCAAAATTTACCAGTCAAGTTACAAGACCACCAGCTATGGAAATAAGTCCCTCACTCACCACATTGTCTCACACAGACTGGAGGCACTGTAGAGTTTGAGTGAGCTAGGTGTGCAGGAGCAGGGGCGGATTAACCATTAAGCAGACTAAGCACGTGTTTAGGGCACCAGGGCCAAAGGGGGCACCACAAAGTTGGGGAAAGGGTGAAAACTTGTGAGATATTAAAATAGATGTTGTATTGCATTTTCGTAGAACTTTATGTAGCCCAAGCTTGGCTTAGTTTGTACAGTATATTGTGTTATCATATGAATACATTTTTGTATTGCTGGAACCTGCATTGTATATCTGGTCAGACAGGTCGACAACTAAAATGGACTGGGTCAGTGTGGAAAGGAGGGGGGCACCAAGATGGGTCAGTGCTTAGGGCACCAGTGAGCCTTAATCCGCCCCTGTGCGGGAGTCTGGTACCAGCGAGAAACAACCTTAAAGTTTTGCAGTTGAATGTTCAAAGCTCTCGAGGTGGCGGGGGGGGGGGAGTTCCAAATTTGTTTCCATTGAACCAAATATGTGTACAGCGTTTGACGGTGGATTTTTTCCCCTTTCGTTAGAAAACCGCTTTTCATCGCTCTCAGACTCTGAGTTACAAGAACGGGTTTGCCTTTAAGCGGCTGCCGACGGTGGGGATAGGACGAGAGCGGCTTCACGTCAACCAGCTGTCCCAGGCCGAATTAGATGAGTTGTCCAACAAGCGACCCACCCTCACCTATGGGCAGCCCAAGCAAGCCCCGCCTTCGGACTTCATCCCAGCACATGTGGCCTTCGACAAAAAGGTATTGTTCTAGAACGCCTGAGTGCAGGATCTGCGATGGCCAAGCCCGGCATCGAAAGGTGAAGCCATTTACTGCAGAGTTTAGGGAACAATATGTATCAATATTTCAAGGGCCCATATCCGTTGGCTGTAGATGGATGAAACTGACTTGGCAGATGGTGTCTTTGCTTGGGAAGAGGATTACTGTATAGATGTCCCGAGTCTCTGCCCAGAGATATCCACAGTCTCAACAGTTTGAAGAGGTTAGATCAGGGGTGGCCAAACTGTGGCTCGGGAAGCCGCATGCGGCTCTTTCACACATATTGTGTGGCTCCTGGCAGGGCAGCTGGGGAAGCTAAATATTATTAGAAAACAAATATCATTGGGCAAATAAATATCATTTTCGATATCTGCTTTTACCGCTTGTGTTACTATTTTTGGCAGTCTCATTTAATGTTAATAAAAAGCAAATTTGCATATTTCCCAGTAAAAACGTGTAATATTTGTTCATGTTTTGTGGCTCTCAGACATCTGACGTTTATTCTATGTGGCTCTTACGTTAAGCAAGTTTGGCCACCCCTGGGTTAGATTAACCCTACAAGGGAAGTGATGATTATTGGAAACAAAACATTAGAGTGCAAGCCAGTGATTAGGATAGCAAAGATTATGTAGGAGCTTTTGATCAGGGAATCTGTCAAAAAGATTTTTGCGGGCCCTGTATATAAGGTATACTCCATGTGCTTCTTGACTCTCTCAACTCACAAAAAACTTGTGATGCAAGGCCTTGCTTTGCACAAGCTGCTCTTATTCTTCCTGGACAAGGCTTGTTCTTCTCCTGTGCTTAACCATTCCAGCTTTAATAATGCTTTTTGCCAGTTTCCCAGAGACAGACATCAAGCTACTGGGCCTACTGTTTCCTGCCTATCCTTGAATCAGGTTTAGTGATTCCAGTCCTCCAACTAGGAGGCTGCTTTTAGTGACACGTTGCATATTTTTGTCTGAAGCAGAGATGCAAAGTTTCTGGAAACTTTGAAGCCACAGGGGGGGGGAACACCCTGTTTTTTCCCATGGGGGGGCAGAAATTTTGAGAAAAATTAAAGTATATGCGGTATTTCCTGTCCTATCCAACCTAAACGATAAAGGTTATTTGTAACTTACCTAGCATGTAATATTGCAATATGTGACATATGTATGGATTTTAAAAGTTATCAGTGCCTTAGTTTTGTACAAGCAAAACTGCAAATATATACAGTGCTAGAGAGAAAGCTTCAAACTGATGCACCCTATGTTGTCTTAGTGCACGTACCTTAATCTTTGCTATCTGGTTAGAAAGAACGGCATTCTCATTGAAACTTGCAGTTTTCCCCTGAGGCTTTGCCACAGTTTCTGTGCCACCTCCTTCTGATCTTTTTTCTCCTTCCAGCAAGTTAGGGCAATCAGCCACATTTTACCCAGTTGAGGGATATATGTGTCACAGTGGTTTGAGGGAGAGGTGAAAAAGTCGACTACGTCAGGTGAAAAGGACAACAGAAGGCATGCAATTGTTGAGAAACAGTGAAATCCCTGCCTGCTCCTCTCATGAAGATTAGGTATCCCTCTAGGTGCAGAAATGCACCTTGGATTTAAGAGTTGCATATGTCTGCAGCACACCCACCTTATCTTCCAAGAGCCAGTTTGGTGTAGTGGTTAGCAGCGCGGACTCTAATCTGGGAGAACCGGGTTTGATTCCCCGTTCCTCCACCTGCACCTGGCTGGATGACCTTGGGCAAGCTGTAGTTCTGATAAGAGCTGATCTTGGAAAAAGAGCAGTTTCTGTGAAGAGGTCTCTCAGCCCCACCTACCTCACAGGGGGTGTCTGTTGTGGGGAGGGGAAGGGAAAGGAGATCGTAAGCCGCTCTGAGACTCCTTTGGGTAGTGAAGGGCGGGGTATAAATCCAATCTCTTCTTCTTCTCTTCTTTAAAAGTATTTCATTCTTTCATTCAGTCTAAAAGAGAAAATATTTCTTAGGCTTTTTTTCAGTACCCCCCCTCCCATTTCCAGTTTTTCCATTGGAAAATTTTTAAAAAGACCCCGGGGGGGTGGAACGGAAAATATTTTCCGGAATCCCCCCCCCCCCCCCCTTCTCCCCCCCGGGGGCCCACCCTCTCTTATCGAACAATTTCTCGGCTGAGTCAAAGATTCAGGGACTTCCTCATGCTGCTAGCCTGAATTTGAGGAGAGTGTTTTCCCCCTGTTCCCAGAGATGGTGTCTTTTCATGGTGTCTGGGCTTGATGTTCTTAGAATGTAGCGGGGGTACATACGCCCCCAAGGCACTGGCTCTTTCCCGAGAGGGTCTCCTGTCAGTGTTATCATGAAAGCGACTTGTCTCCTGCCTTTCGGGGGCTCTTCCTTTGCAGGTGCTGAAGTTCAACGGTTACTTCCAAGAAGATGTCCCCATATCGATCGAAGAGCATTTCCGTATCCGGCAAGTGGGCATTTATTATTACCTCGAAGACGACACCATGTCTGTCATGGAGCCCATCGTGGAAAACTCGGGGATTCCTCAGGGCAAGTTCATCAAGCGGCAGCGCCTGCCCAAGAACGACCGTGGGGACCATTACCACTGGAAAGACCTCAACCGAAGCATCAACATTACCATCTACGGCAAGACTTTCCGGATAGTCGACTGCGATGCGTTCACGCAGGTACTGCGCCTCGGCCATTCTGTCGCAGAATTAGGTGCGTGTGGCTATTAAGAAATCAGGCAAGCTGTCGTAATCTCCAAACACGATTCTGAACCTTGGCTGGCTGAATTCAGTAATTCCTTGGATTTATTTTCGGTGCTTGTCTGCTTGATGTATTTTAAAAAATTTCTAACCTGCCTTTCTCCACAAACATGGGGAGGGGCTGTGGCTCAGTGGCGTGCCGAAGGTCCCAGGTTCAGTTCTCTGGCATTCCCAGCTGAAAGGACCAGGTGGGAGGCGATGTGAAAGACCTCTTGACCTGAGACCCTGGAGAGCCACTGCCCATCTGGGTAGGCAAGACTGGCCTTGAGGAACCAAGGCTCTGAGTCAGTATAAGGCAGCTCCATGGCTGTGCAGATGTTTCCAAACTCACTTTACGTGGTACACTTAAGACACCTCTGTCTGGGCTCTTACTTGACCTGAACAATGCAGCGGCACTGTTCCCTCGTGTGCCACAGGCATCACATGGCAAGCCAGGAACTGCAAGAGATAAGCCAACACTCTGAGAATTGAGGCCCCGGTCACACGGCAACGTTGCCGCAGGAGAGGCACGGATGGTGGGCGGATTATCCGGGCGCGATCACACCCCAACATCTGGGAAGTGGAGCGCACCCGTGGCTTACCGCCGACAATGCGCCTTAAAAAACTAGTACCTCCAAGGTACTAGTAAACGTTTGCCACGGGCTGCCTCCAGACGCCCGTGGTGTGATCGCGCCGGCGTGCGGCATTCCCCTCCGGTCCCTCGTTTACCCGCCGGTGCCGAGGGAAGGACCCATGGTGTGCCGCCGGCGCGTCTGATCGCATAATCGCGCATCAAACTGCACCGGGGCAATTAGCCATGCCTCCCCCCCCCCCCCCCCCCCCCGTGATGTGACCGGGGCCTGAGTCTGTTTTCCAAGGGTGAATGCTAGCCTGGGGAGGAACTGCAGGGCAGCTTCTCCCCTTTTGCTCCAGGGCTTCTCACGTTACCCTAGCAAAGCAGGGAGAGGCTGCAGCCCTGGGGGTTCCCGTCCGACCGAAGTAATATGAAAACCCAGGCCTTATGTCGTGGGGAGCTGTGAATTCGTTGATGTTCCCTTATTGTTTGGTGCCAGTTTGGTGTCGTGGTTAAGTGCGCAGACTCTAACCTGGGAGAACCGGGTTTGATTCCCCACTCCTCCACTCGCACCTGGCTGGATGACCTTGGGCAAGCTGTAGTTCTGACAAGAGCTGTCCTTGAAAAAGAGCAGTTTCTGTCAGAGCTCTCTCAGCCCCACCTACCTCACAGGATATCAGCTTGTTGCTGACAACATCATTACATTACCAGGAAGGCCTCTTCCTCCATGGTGAGACTCTCAATGTTTGCCCAGCCTCAAGATGCCAACCTTAGCTGAGTTTCATAGTCAAGTGGAGACTCCTCCTCCTCCTCCTCCTCCTCCTCCCCCTCCTCCTGCTCCTCTTCCTCCTGCTTCTCCTCCTCCTCCTCCTCTTCTTCTTCTTCTTGTATTGTGTAGTTATTTTGACGATTTCTTATTTTAACATGATTCCTAAAGCCTTTGCCTTAGTTTTACCTTTCACTTGTTATATTGGAGGAGGAGGAGATTGGATTTATACCCCGCCTTTCACTACCCAAAGGAGTCTCAGAGAGGCTTACAATCTCCTTTCCCTTCCCGTCCCCACAACAGACACCCTGGGAGGGAGGTGGGGCTGAGAAAGCTCTCTCGAGGACTGCCCTTGAGAGAACAGCTCTGAGAGAACTTATGACTGATCCAAGGTCACGCCAGCAGCTGCATGTGGAGGAGTGGTGAATCAAACCTGGTTCCCCCAGATTAGAGTCCACACTCCTAACCACTACACCAAACTGACCGTTGGTTGCTGGCTGTGTTTGGTTACGGCCTAGCAGGGCCCAGACCAGGCCTTGCCCGAGTTCTAAATAAAGCTCTGTTCTGTTTTGGTGCTGGGTGCTGTGGAGTTATTACACCAGGTGTTCACCGGAGACACATAACGGGAGACGGGGCTTTGTGATGCGCTTAAGCTACCCCGAAGGTTCCCCTCTTGAGTACCGTCCTTGACGTTTGCCTTTTCCCCTCCTGCACATTCTGACCCACCTCTGTCTTCCCCTAGACATTCCTGGAGAGCCAAGGGATTGAACTGAACCCCCCGGAGACGATGATTTTCGACCCTTACACAGAGTTGCGCAAAATGCCTCTGCGCATGTACGTCACGCCCTCGGATTTTGACCAGCTGAAACAATTCCTGGCCTTTGACAAAAAGGTGAGTCGCAGGGTGGACTCCCGTCACGAGCCCCAGGGCCTGGCCGGAGGACTGGAGGATTCTGGGACGGCGAGGCTTCCTGGTGTGCATTTTGGGTGGGGGGGGGGCAGAGCAGCGGAGTGCAGCCCGCGCCGAGCATCTGGTGTCACATGTGAGCGTTTGCTCTGCTCTGCTTTTTGTACATGGCCTTCCGGGATTGGGAATTATCCCAGGTTCCTCTTCTCCTACCAGTTATTTTTGGTAAGCCATCTTTAGTAACGTCTCGTTGCTCATCCATAAATACAAATGGACATTTTCACTCCCCACCTATACACGGGTGAAGTACTTTTGTTTCTTTTGTTCTTCTTGGGCTGAGCCTGCTACTGGCACTGCCAGAAGTGTCTGTCTGTCTGTCTATCATCTATCTATCTGTCATCTACCTATCATCTACCTATCATCTATCTATCATCTACTATCTCTATCATCTATCAGTGTATCATCTATCATGGATCTAACATTTATCATCTATCTACCATCTATCTATCTGTCCATCCATCCATCCATTTTTGTCCTACCCCTCCTCCAAGAAGTTTGGAGTGGTGTACATGGCTCCCCCTCCCCATTGAGGTAGGCCTGTCAGACAGAGAGTGCCTGGCCAAAGGTCACCCCATGAACTTGACAGCAGAGTGGGGTTTTGACTTGAGCCGGGATCTCCCTGACTCTAATTCTACACTGCACCCGCCATGTCTGTAAAGAGTTACTGAGTCAGATCACCAGCCCGAGTCATCCACTAGTGTCTCCTCTTGGTGTAGTGGATAAGTGCACGGACTCTAATCTGGGAGAACCGGGTTTGATTCCCCACTCCTCCACTCGCAGCTGCTGGATGACCTTGGGCAAGACACAGATATGGCACAGCTGTTCTTGAAAAAGAGCAGTTTCTGTCAGAGCTCTCTTAGCCCCTCCTACCTCACAAGGTGTCTGTTGTGGGGAGGAGAAGGGAAAGGAGTTTGTAAGCCACTCTGAGACTCCTTTGGGTAGTGAAGGGTGGGGTATAAATCCAATCTCCTCCTCCTCCTCTCTCTCTCTCTTTTCAAGGTCTGTCTTATAGCCCCCCTACCTGTGATTCTTTTAACAGAAGGGGCCGGGGGTACAATCTTATAAGGACAATGAGTCCATGCCGTTGCTGAGCTCTGGCCCCTCTCACACTTTAACCAGGTCCTCCGTTTCTACGCCATATGGGATGACACCGTAAACATGTTTGGCGAGAGCCGGCGTTTTATCATTCACTACTACTTGGCGGACGATACTGTGGAAGTGCGGGAGTGCCACGAAAGGAATAACGGCAGAGACCCTTTCCCCGTGCTGATAAAGCGCCAACGCCTGCCCAAGAAAACCGTGGAGAAAACCGGTAGGAGCACTTTGGCCGTTTGCCCCAATCGGTGAAAGAGGAGGAGGTATTTGAGGGGTTAATGGGCACATATGTGTGAAATCCGTTGACGCATTTAGGTGCAGCAAGTAGCCTTTCCACGCTCATTGTACCGGGAAGGCAGAAATATGGGACCCAGGTTTATCATTAGCCTGCATGGGGGAGAAATCCTCTTTCAGTAGAGAGATGTGACAAGGTGTCTGCCTTGAATTTTCATTCCTGACAATAAAGGGGGTTGCAGTATGATAGTAACCAACACGACAGAACTACTGCAAAATGTGCAAAATGTACATACTCCAATTTGTATTTATAACATCAATAACATCAGTTGTTTTTATTAGAAATTTTTTATTAGGAGTTGTTTATGTGTGAAAAAGACGCCCGAAACGAATGTTAACTCCGGGGGACTTCGTCCATCTGCTCATCTGTGAGACGTCTTCATCATTCTTGAGACGTTCTTATTCTCTGTGAAAACATTGTATTGTTATTATTGATGTTATAAATACAAATTGGAGTATGTACATTTTGCACATTTTGCAGTAGTTCTGTCGTGTTGAATTTTCATTCCAGCACAAGTGAGGATTTAAGCCACTTTATCATTCATACCATTACAATACCTCAACCTTAACTGCCTGCAGTATAACATACTGAAATTCATCTTCAGGGATGCGACATCTTCTGCAGAGCTTTGATAAATGTCCTTTCTGGGCATGCAACCAGATGAGACATGGGAGCTTTGGCAGTCATCTCCTGATGTGTTTATTTACAAGCAGCTGCAGGAGGCAATTTTGAAGGGGATGGTGATGACCCTCACAGGGTGTGTATTAACCCTATCCTCGGTGCCCTTTTTGTAATAGAAAGACCTTTGTTATCCAACCATCCCTAGAAGGGAAGAAAAAAGACAGGCTGCCTGTCTTTTTTCCCCCTTTCTAGGGCTAAAAGCAGCTCTGGGGCCTGATTTTCTGAAATGGTATTGTGGGGAAAGGTGGGGGAGGGTTTAACCACCCTGGGCACCATGGCCTCGATCCAACCTGGTATACATACACCCCTTCCCCCCCAATAGTTTTTATCAAACACCGTTCAAAAATGTTGGGAAATCTGACAAAGAATTTCCTGCATCTCACGTAGCTACACCAGGATATGTTCTAGAGGTACCATGACCTCACTTTCAGGAAAACCTGGAAGTGACGTCAGGTAGTTCTAGGAATTGGTGGAAACGATATGGTAAAACCATAAGAGTTTCAGGTGATTCCTAGAGCTACCTGACATCAGTTCCAGGTTTTGTCGGGAAGTGACATCATGGCGCACGCAGTCGCGAATTTAAAAAATAAATAAATCCCCCACCGCCTCTTTTGAGTGTCTCTTTGAGTGATGTGGTCTGCCACTAGGAGGCCTCCTGTCATAGCTAAAGGCCTGGCAACCCTAATATGTTCTGAGATGGTGACAATTAGCCTCAGACACTAAGTGTTGTGATCAGTTTGACCCGTTGTATACTGTTTGCTTTGTTATCGTTGCACAACAAGAAACACCGTTATTTTGTCTTTCTTCCCTGGACACTGAACATTCTTTTCAATGGACAACGGATTTTCTTCTTTTGGGTAGAGGTCCCAAAGGCCACCCGCATCTAACTGACCTGCTTTCCTTCCACAAGACACCTTCCCAACTTGTGTGCTGGAGATCTCTGACCAGGAGGTCCTGGAATGGTTTACCGCTAAAGATTTCGCTGTAGGCAACTCCATCACCCTTCTCGGGCGCTCTTTCTTCATCTACGACTGCGACGAGTTCACGCGGCAGTTCTATCGGGACAAGTTTGGCATCGATAACTTCCAGCCAGTCGATGTAAAGACGCGGCCCCTGGAGGAAGTGACACAGGTAACGAGAAGGTTTTGATCAACGGGGATATAGGATGGCAGAGCTGTCAATCCACAAGGCCAGGACTCCAGTCCCCGGTCCCTTCCTGTGAGCGTTTTGTTGAAATCGATGCAAGGTTTCCTAAGAAGTACATTTAGCTGTAGGACATCTGTCACCTAATGCCATACTGTGGGTTGGAGTCGGACTAAATTGGCAGTTTCCACCAAGCCCTCGTTCCCACTGTGCTTTGGAGCTTTCCGCAAAACGTTGGGCAGTTCCAAGCCTCCTTCGATGAAGGCACTTGTTTCCAAATGGCTGTTTTGAGCAGACACAAAGGTGGTCCTCCCCCCCCGCCCCCGCTCTCCTGAAGCACCTCATATATATATTCCAATAAACTAGAGACAGGCCAGGATTGGCTGTTTGCTTTGCAAAGAGAGGTTTCGGGGAAGGAGCAAGGGAGGACGAGGAAACATGCTGGTGGGTGTTGTGGCGCCTGTGGAAAGCACGTCAAGGGCCACTGTGTTGGAATTGCAAGTTGCTTACACTTCAGCCATTACAGAATTAAATGTTGCTTGTTAGCAAACAGGATGTTACTTTGCAGGAAAGTTTGTGGGAGTTGTTTATCCTAATGAAGTGACCTGTAACCTTTGTATTGGTCAACTAACATCTTGTTTGTAGAAATGCTTTGATCTAGCATTAATGTATTCACAAGTTCATGGCCCTTTGTGTGAACCAAAGAGGTATTTCTCTTCTAGAAGCCAAGAGAGATAGAAGGATGTAGCTGTTAGCATTTATTACTGAGAGTAACTATAAGTATGTAGCTTTTTATTTTATTTCTTTTATCCAAAGTACCATACTCATGTTTTATTTTGTTTTTATAGTAAAGATATTTTTCTTTTACTAAGTGTGGCTCTCGTGTTTGCAATACAACCATCGACCCTGAATTAGGAATCCCAACACACTGTTAGATAACACAGCAGCAGTGGAAGCTGCAGCGGTCTTGAAAGGAATATAGTTCCCTCTCCAGTGTCTCAGTCTAAGTCATGTAGTCCATCGTCATCATCCCTCCCCCTTGGTTTCTTTTCACGGCAGGTCATCCCTCCCTACAATGGTTACGGCTTCATTGAGGACTCTCTCCAGAACTGCTTCAGCCTGATCCCGAAGCCTCCTAAGAAAGACATCATCAAGATGCTAGAGAACGACCGTAAAGTGTTGCGCTACGCCGTCATGATGGTGAGATGTTTCCTGAAGGATACGCTACCGTTCCAAGCGAAGAATGAGATCGCGACGAGATTTCAGTGTGACAAGCCGGGGGGAAGATCCCGTTGGTCAGCCGTGTTGGTCTGAAGCCATAGAACGAATTTAGAGTCCAGGGGCACCTTTAAGCTAGTTTGGTGTAGTGGTTAAGTGCGCGGACTCTAATCTGGGAGAGCCGGGTTCGATTCCCCACTCCTCCACTTGCACCTGGCTGGATGGCCTTGGGCAAGCCGTAGTTCTGATGAGCTGTTCTTAGTTCTGATAAGAGCTGTTCTTGAAAAAAGAGCCCTTTCTGTCAAGAGGTCTCTCAGCCCCATCTACCTCACAGGGTGCCTGTTGTGGGGAGGGGAGGGGAGGGGAAAGGAGTTAGTAAGCCGCTCTGAGACTCCTTTGGGTAGTGAAGGGCGGGGTATAAATCCAATCCTCTTCTCTTCTTTTTCTTCTTAAGACAAACAAAGGTTTATTCAAGGTATGAGCTTTTGTGTGCAAGGCACACTTCTTCAAATATATTTGAATGGCAGGTAAGGTTCAGACTTATACCCAGAGAATGAGCAGCAAACTAACATGTAACACGATGACCGTTCAAGACATGCAAAGTGAAAGCTCAACAACAATTTAGTTTTGTTCAACTGAATAACAAGTTAAGGTTATAAGGTCAACAGTTGTAAAGCAATAAATGTGTCAAAACAGCAGACTTCCCACAATTAGAAAAGCCCCCTTTGGACATTTATCTGCTATTTGGACATTTATCTGCTATTTTGACATATTTATTGCTTTACAACTGTTGAACTTATAACCTTAAGTTGTTATTTAGTTGAACAAACTTGAGCTTTCACTTTGCATATCTTGACCATCATCATGTTATGTGTTAATTCGTTGTTCATTCTCTGGCTAAAAGTTTGCACCTTCCCTGCCATTCCAATGTATCTGGAGAAGTGTGCCTTGCACACAAAAGCTCATACCTTGAATAAAACTTTGTTGGTCTTAAAACAGGAGGGGAGAATGGGAGAAGGCTTCTAAAATAAGGAATCCCCTTTTAAAAAACCTGGTCTCTTGGTGCTTTCAAAAGGTTATATGTGAATGGCGAAGGAAATGAGAACAGACCCAACCTATTCTCCACCGTGTTTTGCGCAATGCCGCGATGGCTCAAGTGGTTAAGACGCTGAACTGCAGGCTGTGGAAGGTCGGCAGTTCAGCAGTTCGAGACCCGAGTGTGCTGCATGACGGAGTGAGCTCCCATCTCTAGTTCCAGCTCCTGCCAACCTAGCCGTTTGAAAGCAAGAAATTGCAAGTAGATAAATAGGTACCACTTCAGTGGGAAGGTAACAGCGTTCCATGCACCCGGTGTTTAGTCATGCTAGCCACATGACCACCGAAACGTCTTCGGACAGCACTGGCTCTTCGGCTTTGAAACGGAGATGAGCACTGCAACCCTAGAGTCGGACTCGACTGGCTTTCGAGCAAGGGAAACCTTTACCTTTACCTTTACTGTGTCAAACTTCCGGCTCCTGGCCATGATCCAGGTCCTGTGTACGCGTAAAGTTGTGTCAAGTCACAGCCGATTTATGGCGACCCCGTAGGATTTTCAACATGAGACATTCGGAGGTGGTTTGCCATTGCCTGCCTCTTAGTAGCAGCCATGGGTTTCCCTGGTGCTCTCCCATCTAAGTACTAAGATTGCTCCTAGCATCTTCTTGTCACTCAACAAGCTCTTTCACATGCGTTGAAAAATGTCCTTTCACTCCACCTTGCACTTTAGCAATCGTTTGCAAGTGGACTTTCCCGTTTCTTAAAGTAAAAGTGCATTGCAGAGTGGATTGAAAGTAGAATGAAACTGCATTATTCACTGTGCATGAAAACACTCCACGTTTCACACGGCTTTAATGCACCTTGAATCCACTTTCAAGTTTTCAGCTGGATTTCACTGCGTGAAACGGGAAAATCCACTTGCAAACGATTGCTAAGATGCATTGAAAGTGGATTGCAAGCAATGCTCCCTCTAAGCTGTGAGCAAAAATTCTATTGGCATGAAAGTTGTGAGCGAACAATTTGGCCGCTGCATAAATCAGTCTACTCTGGAGCCATCCTTCCTGAGCCAAGACAAAAACGTGTGAGCTGGAGGCTAAAAGACAATGAGCTCGCTCACACTAACTCACCTTAGAGGGAACACTGATTGCAAGCATGTTATTGAGTTTGTATGAAAATGCCCCGTGTATCTCAACTCTGGGATTTATTACATGCTATCTTAGAGCTGTGGTGGCTCAAGTGGTTAAGATGCTGAACTGCAGACCGGAAGGCCTGTAGCTCAGCAGTTCGAGGCCCGAGTGCCGCATGACAGAGTGAGCTCCCGTCTCTGGCCCCAGCTCCTGCCAGCCTAGCAGTTTGAAAGCAAGAAATTGCAAGTAGATAAATAGGTACCGCTTTGGTGGGAAGGGAACAGCCTTCCGTGCGCCTCGGCGTCTAGTCACGCCGGCCACATGACCACGGAAATGTCTTTGGACAGCGCTGGCTCTTCGGCTTGGAAACGGAGATGAGCACCGCACCCTAGAGTTGGATTCGAGTGGCTTTCGAGGAAGGAAAACCTTTACCTTTTCTCCTTTAAGCAGAGTGGGGTGCAGTAGTGGACTAATTCCCACACTGAGCAAGGGGGTTAGAGTAAGTGACCTCTAGGTTCCCTTCTAACTCTTTGTCAAGAAACTGGCCTCCTTTGAGTGTTAGCTTTCTTGACAATAGAAGTCATCACCCCCACCTGCCGGCTTGTTGCTTAGGCTGGCAGAAGTGATTAACTTGCATCAGCTGAGAACTGTCATCTAAAGTGGCCGACAGCTCGCAATCTAGAGATCTATCCTGGGAACAGCCTTCTGTTGGCTAAGTGGCTTTTCTTTCTGCACTGAGAACTTCAGGCCCGCCAGAAAAGAACTTGCCCCACAAGCCACAAAACCCTGGCTACGCGCCTGATGGAGTGGCAGGATAAACATCTGTTTCGGAGCTCGGGGCACTTTACAGGGTTCTCCCCTTTCCATTTCACCCTGAGAACAACCCTGGGAGGTCGATTAGACTCGGAGTGTGACTGGCCCAAGGCCACCTGTGAACTATATCAGCTGAGTGGGGATTTGAAAATGGGTGCCTCGGAACCCAACCCAGATTCTGACGACTCGGTGCCACCCCGACCCCGCATGGCTCACCTCTCGCTTCGCTCTCCGCAGGAGTCTCCGAATCCGGAGGACAGAAAGCGTCGCTTCGTCCTCTCCTATTACCTCGCCACAGACATGATGAGCATCTACGAGCCTCCCACGCGCAATTCGGGAATCATCGCGGGCAAGTTCCTGGGCAAGACGCGAGTCTCCAAGCCCGGCTCCTCCCCAGACAGCCCCGTTTACTACGGGCCAACTGACCTCACTATTGGGGCCATGGTGGAAGGTGAGTGAAAGGTGTCAGGCAAGTGGGAAGGCAAGGTATACTTATTATTTTTTTTTGCTCTCATAGCCGACTTAGGGCGACCCCCGTGGGGCTTTCAAGGCGAGAGTCATTCTGTTGGGATACTGAGATTCAGGATTGATGGTCGTTTTGCAAACACAAGAGCCACATTAGTAAAAGAAAAACATATTTACTATAAAACAAAATAAAGCTTGGGTAGTGAGCTCCCGTCTCTAGTTCCAGCTCCTGCCAACCTAGCAGTTCGAAAGCAAGAAATTGCAAGTAGATAAATAGGTACCACTTCGGTGGGAAGGTAACAGCGTTCTGTGCGCCTTGGTGTTTAGTCACGCCGGCCACATGACCACGGAAACGTCTTCGGACAGCGCTGGCTCTTCGGCTTTGAAACGGAGATGAGCACCGCAACCCTAGAGTCGGATTCGACTGGCTTTCGAGCAAGGGAACCTTTACCTTTTTTAAGGTACTTTGGATAAAAGAAATAAAATGAAAAGGTTACATACTTGCAGTTACTTTCAGTACTATATGCTAACAGCTACATCTTTCTAACTGTCTTGGCTTCTAGAAGAGAACTTCCTCTCTGGTTCACACAAAGGGCCATAAACCTTGTGAATGCTAGATCAAAGCATTTCCACAAACAAGTTGTTAGTTGACCAATACAAAGGTTACAGGTCACTTCATTAGGGTAAGCAACTCCCACAAACTTTCCCGCCGTAGAATACATTATGTAACGTAACATCCTGTTTCCTAACAAACAACACTTAACTCTGTAATGACTGAAGTGTAAGCAACTTGAAACTCCAGCACATTCAGAGGTGCTTTGCCATCGCCTGCCTCTTCATAGCGACCCTGGGCTTCCTTGATGGTCTCTCATCCAAATACGAACCGGAGCTGGCCCTGCTTAGCTTCCAAGGTCTGATGAGGCTGTCCAGACCAGGGCAAGGTGTGAATATCCCAGGCCAAAATGCAGACGCCGGGATATTAGCTGACTCGATCCCATTTTAGGCTCAATGGGGTTGGTCCTGGCCAACTTTTCAGCTGGCAGGGAAGGAGCACGGGGTTCCCCTTTGGACTACCCCAGAAATGCTACGGTGGGGGACCATGGGACCTGTGTGGACAACAGACTGTATCCAATAGGGGAATTGGCAAGGCTGAGTGGAAAAGTTGGCTGGATCCAACCTGCCGTTTTATATGGAAGAAGGAGGTGGGGGGGAAGGATGTTGTTCACATTCTCTTGGGTCATTGAGCATTGGACACATTTCAATGTTCCCTCTAAGCTCTGGAGTCTTGTGAGCAAAAATCCTACTTTGTGAGCTCCTGGCATTAAAGTTGTGAGCGAGTGATTTGGCTACTGCATGAATTAGTTCGCTCTGGAGCCATCCCTTCCTGAGCTAAGACAAAAATGTGTGAGTCGGAGGCTGAAAAACTGTGAGCTAGCTCACACTAAGCTTAGAGGGAACACTGATTCATATCTGTGTGTGTGTGTGTGTGTGTGTGTGTGTGTGAGAGAGAGAGAGAGAGAGAGAGAGAGAGAGAGAGAGAGAGAATGGTTTTCTCCCACTTTGGGAAAGCGGCACCCAAACACCGCTCACAGCGTCAACGTAACCGGCTGTCTCTCCCCCCAGTGTTTGGCCGCCGTTTTGTGATCACCGACGCCGATATGTATGTCCTGAACTACATGGAAAGCAACTCGGGGAGTTTCCCAGCAGACGCCGTACAGGCGATGAGGGCCCACTTCGCTCCTCGCCAGGCGGCAGCAGAGGCGGTAAAGAGGTAGGCCCCCCAAGGGAACGTGCAGGGTCTGGCCAAGGACCCGGGCCAAGAAGCAACCAGGTCAGCGTTCCGGGTTTGTCTCCAGGAGCGGTTGCCGTTTTGGATGACGGGAGGCCACGGGGGCGACTGTCCACATTCTGCGGGGGAGGGGGTGGCTGAGGGGCTCTGCTGCAGGGTCCGGAGGGCTGCTGCCTCCAGCACCATGAGCCTGCCATGACTGGACCGAGCAGAGCAATCTCACAATCTCATTCCCTTAAGGACATAAGAACATAAGAGATGCCAATGTTGGATCAGGCCAAAGGCCCATCCAGTCCAACACTCTGTGTCACACAGTGGCCAGAAATACCAGGGGCCATCAGGAGGTCCACCAGTGGGGCCAGGACAGAAGAAGCCCTCCCACTGTTGATCCCCCCAAGCACCAAGAAGACAGAGCATCACTTGCCCCAGAGTCCCTACCTATACCATGTGGCTAATAGTCACTGATGGACCTCTGCTCCATATCTATATATCTAATAGCGAAGTGGCCCCCGTGCGTGCGGATACCTAAATCTGGGGGCACTTGGGGGGGAGGGAGATTTTTGTGCACACGTGGGACAGTCCCCAGGTGTGCACAAAAATCTTAAAACCTGAAAAAAAAATCGGGGGGATACTTAAA